TCAGATAACAGTGGATGAGTCTTTGCCATGTGAATTATTTGTACGTTGATAGTGAATTTTAATATCACATTCTGGCTTTTAAAATTTTGGCAATTTACAATTAGCTATTCCTAAATGCCTGATAGTAACTGCAAAAGGAAATAAAATGAGATCATCAATTGATTATTAAATGGGCTCAAAACACAAGTCAATGCTGTCTATGTTCCAAAATACCATTAAGTATCTTATTTTCTCTTCTTTTGCTCACTTGAAAATCAGAAAGCTAGCTAGAACTTTAAGAATAATATAATGGAATGACTGCTTCATTCTTTACAAGAATAACTGCTGTACAGTCATTCCTATTTCATACACAGCATACTGTAAACTTGGTTTCAGATAAGTCAATATTATCAGCAAAGTAGAACACTGTTGCTTATTTAACACCTTAATAGTCAGTAACATTTTAAAATTTCAAGTGAAGGAGTCTAAACACTGAATACACCAAGTAGCGAATATGAAATAACTTACAAAGAAAAAAATTAACAAAACACTTAGCTATTTGGAGCTATATATCTACTTGGAGAACTTGTGAAAATTAATAGTTTAAGGAAATATTAGGTCTGGGTTTTCTGTAGATCTTTTTATAGAGGTGATGGAGTCTGATGTGTGGGACACTTCTTGGAGGATTTAAAGAAACTCATCCTCCTATTTCTTTTCAGTATCTCTTTAGAAAATAAATATTACCCACATCTGATTTTCCAGAATTAATACCCCAGGCACATTTTATGAGCATGAACAAGCAAACAGAGAAAGACTTGTTTAAAATCTCAAATTCCATTTCTTTTATTTTAATATTTTCATGAAATTACACAACTTTTCATTGGAGACAGAGAACTGAATTGTCAGTGAATGTAATCCAGGTTGAACTAGTTCTAGTTTATTGATCAGTTTATCCTACTTTTTGGTTCAATTTAAGATATTCCATCGTAGAAGCTCAATTTTTAGGTTTCTTCTACTTTCGCCCACTGGTACTTTCTTTCCTAAAACTGATCCGGTCAAACCCAACCATGTGGATCCTTCTCCAACACCCCTTCACAAAAACAAAAGTTACATAAATTGGGGAGGTGGATATTTTAAACTATTTTTGGAGAAGGCGCACTTGAAGGAGTCTACCATTTTCTCCTCTTTTCTAGGTTATGAAACTTGGAAATCCCGAAATCGCCAGGAAACTACTACTGAGCGGTGCTAATCCCGATTTGAAAGACCGAACTGGTTTTGCTGTCATTCATGATGCAGCCAGAGCAGGTTTCCTGGACACTTTACAGACTTTGCTGGAGTTTCGAGCTGATGTTAACATCGAAGATAATGAAGGAAATCTGCCCTTGCATTTGGCTGCCAAAGAAGGCCACGTTCCCGTGGTTGAGTTCCTTGTGAAGCACACGGCTAGCAAAGTGGGGCATCGGAACCATATGGGGGATACTGCCTGTGACTTGGCCAGGCTCTACCGGAGGAACGAGGTCGTTAGTTTGATGGAGGGAAACCAGGCAGAGGGAGCTACGAATCTGCAGTGAATGTGGGGAGGGCTCTCCCACACTGCCTTCTATTTTGTCAGTAATTGGTTACCTGTCCTATTTTTAAGATCATTTGTTAAAATTCAGTTTTGTCATATTTTAAGCATCTAGTTAAATCTTCTGAAACTGCTAAGTGGAAATCTTAACTACAGGTTTATGACTATATTTAAGCCACATCCTTTTCACCTGCAAAATTCTGAGTTCTAACATGTAATTGCAAATAGTTTTTGACTTTCTTCTGAATATTTTATCTTTCCTTGTTTTTTTTTCCCTTACTTTTGCCAGACTTTGCCAGTCTCAATACCAACTTGGAGACTTTGTTTTTGAAATGGTTTGTCCTGATGCTTCTTTTGCCTAATTAAAACACTTTTTAAAAACAGGACAATGTTTTTCTGTGATCTGCATGCCTCTATAACCCCCCATACAACTTGCCACCTGCTAGGGAAAACCATACTAAAAGTTAATGTTTCAAGCCTTGACATTAGCAAAATAGACCAACGGCAACAGTAGATATATTCAATTGACGGTTCTTATTCTTTTCTTCTCATGTCTCTCCATAGAGATTTTATTTGGTGACTAGTTTTTATGCTTTTAAAAAGAATAACAGTTTTTGAAGAGCAAACCTGAAATGAGTTCAGTAAATTTATCCTAATGTTTAATCTTCCCATTTTCTCAAAGTTGAATAGCTGAAAGGCAGATTTCAGAAAGTAAAGCTCTGAAAACATCTATTTTGCCCTAAATCCACTTTTAAAGAAAATTCCACCTTAAAAGTGCTTCCCCATCAGTTGATTTGGGAAAAAACCCTCAAAATGAAACATTTGGCTCTATATCTCAAAATTTCTCAAGAGCATAATACTTTTTCTCCCTGAATACCAGAAATGTAAAATTACAGAATCCTAAGTATTAAAATATAATGCAAATACCATTTTAGGGGATTAAAAACTTAGCAAGAAAAAAATACAAATTACATATAAGGGTCATAACTAATTTATAAAGACCAGAGCATAATAAATACAGAAGCTTTTATAAAAAATAGGTCACTCTTCATCTAGTTCTTGATTCCCACAAAAAATTTTTTAGTAAAGGCATATAAAATATTTTAAAGAATATGTTTAGCTAAAATTTAAAAAATTGAATGAAATAAAAATACCAAATTGCCTAGAGATTTTTTCCACCATCCACTTGCCCTGTCATTTTAGAGATTTTCACCAAAGAATTTCAAAGCAGTTACTAGTTACAGATTTATAAATACTTTATTCATCATTTCCCACAGGAACAAAAATATTTTAGGTGAAAGTTCCCTCCTCTGCTTCACAAACTCCCTGCATTCACTCCAAAAAGAACAAAATACTTAAAGGTTTTACTGAAGGCATTGTTCTGGTGCCTGCCCTAACAAAGATTGAAATGATTGCAGGTAAGTGGTTTTCAGTAATTCATTTTCTGTGATAGCATAAAATAATATAGGAGAAAATATTTAGTACTATTCATTGGACACTAAAGTTCACCTTCCTTAAGTCAAATGCAACAAGACTTCAATGTCTGCCACCTCTAACTACAAGTTACTGAATAAATATAATTTTGACAGCAACACGGAATTAATTTAGAACACTTTATAGAAGAAGAAAGTGGAAGTTGAGATGGTTTTGAAGGGAAAAGTGTTGTATTTTGGATTTAAAAACTAGAATCCATATCCAAACTACATTGCTTAAATAAGCTAAATATTTTCTAAACACAAGACTATTAATGAAAAATAAAAACAACCCTCTTACAAGTAGGCAAATGTAAAGATGGCCGGTTCTGAATTTCAAGTAGAGATAATGAATCTTTCAATATCCACCAACTAAGCATTAAAATTGCTCTTCAGAGATTTCAAGTATAAAGGCATAGGACGTTTATAAAGCTAAAGTAAAGGGAAATACTTCTGCAGTTGCTTTGTTCTCAAATGGTCGAGCACAGTAAGAGAAGGAACTCCATCTCCTTCGGACTAAAATTTGCTAGGTATTTAAACATCTCTGGCTCTTAGCAGGAAATAGCTTTGCTAATCTAAGTATTTTAGAAATGAGTTATGTGGTCCCCTCTAGGAAATATGAAAAACCATTATTCAACCTCTCAAAAACCTCGACAATATTCAGTGAGATGCTTGACTATGAGGAAATGTATAGGATGGAAGAAACGGTGCTGCCGAGTTTAATGGGGTCTAATTTGCAGCGAGCTGAGGTGGGTAAGGAACAAAACTTATTCAGAAGAAGAGTGGCGTTGCAGCTGCTAATTAATAGAATGATCAGAACCCCAGGGGGTGAGGCTATAAAAAGGATGGAGGATACTAAACAGAGATGCTCTGGAAAATTCGGCTCTTAACAGAGTCGGCATCCACTTCGGGGAGCTCCAAAGTTCAGGATTTACGCAGCAAACTGATCCAGACTTACACCTGGAAAGGGGGGAAGTATTAACAGGACCCCAGTCCACGTTCTGGTCCCGAATCACTAAGCAAGCTGCATTTTACACGTCAGTAGTGAATCAATAGTTTTCTGATAAACATCACGCATCTCGCACCGGTGTGAGGTGTTCCTACACACGCACCCACCCCACGCTGGTGACTAATAAATAGGTCAAGAATTCTGTCCCGGGAAAGCAAATCGCTTGGTAACATTATAAATTTCCCTTCTCTTGCTGATCGAATGAACGTTGTGGAATCCGTGACCCGGGACTGGTTTCGAAATCTCAGTTCCCAAAAAGGTGCTGTCGGCTTTTGCCGGGGATGGAAGCTGCAGTCCAGAAGCGCTGGGTGATCAGGGCTGGAGCGAAATAGGGTCGTGCGCGCAGCCTTCCCGACTGCCCTCCGCGACCTTCATCAAAAGGTTACGGGGGGGAAAGTCCCTGCCGTGGACTCTTGAGACTGTTTTGATTTTACACAGCAGGTTCAAAAACACAGGTCTGCCCAGGGACCTAGTGAGAGTCAGGAGACAACCTCGCCGTCAGAGACCCAGGGTGAAGCTCTGCCCCGCAGCCAGCCCCAGCCCTCTATGGAGGGATGGCGAAGACATCTTTTCTGTCCCTTCTGCAGACTCCAATTGCAGCTCCCCGCTCCCCAGTGAGGAAGCCGAAGCCCGGAGCTCCCTCAGGGCGCGCAGAAAAGCCCGGGGTGGGGGTGGGGGAGTTTCAAAACCGTTAGCTCGCGTTTTTTTTTTTTTTTTCCCTTTTCCCTCCCTCGCTAAGGTTTCTTTTCTTTTCTCTTCCTGTCCAAATATTTCAAATTTCCGCGCCTTAAATAACAGTCTCCTTTTATTTAGTTACTTTCTTCTGCAGGTTTGGCCGCCCGCTTGTCTCTGCCCCCCAGCGGGCCCAGGGCGCCTCGGTGCAGCCTGCAGCCCCTGCGCGCTGCCCCCGGCCCAGCGGGCGCGGCCCCGAGCGCACGGCACCCCCAGCCCCCCCGCCAGCCACGACCTCGCCTGACCCTGCTCTCCCCGCACCTAGAGCCAACTAAGGCCGCCCCCCGCCAGGATGCCTGTCTGCCTCCCAACGCGACTTCCCTGCCCGACTTTGGAAGCTATTCTGCTTTGGGGTTTGGATCCCGGTCGCCCCGGAGCGGCGGAAAGGCCGCGGCGATAAGAACGCAGCGGAGGAGGCCAGTGGCCGCAGCCTGCCCCAGCCCCCACCCCGCGGGTAACCTTGGAGGCGCCCGAAGAGTGAGTGTGTGCGCTGCTGCCCCAGCCGGCCGAGGCGAGCCCGAGCGCCGAGCAGCGGGCGGGAGGCGGGCGCTGGGGGCGGAGAAGGGGGAGCCGGCCCTGGCGTCCCCCCGGCCGCCGCCGCGCCCTGGGAGCTGCGGGCAGCCCGGGCAGCCGGGGTGCCCGGCCCTGGCCCAGACGCAGCGGTCCCCGAGGAGGCAGAGGCCATCCTACTGGATGGTTCCTTTGACTGGTGCCTAAAGACCGGGGCCCCAGGGCGACGTGGGAGTTGGGGTGCGCGGGCGGGTGAGTGCCTAGCTCTCGGCAAAGGTGAGCTGGCGGCGGGGCGCGCGCGGCGGCTGGAGCAACTCCATGCCCAGTTGCCTGTGCCAGCGCTCCCTCCTCCACCCCCGTGACAGCTGAGGACAGCCGGGCTCCGAGCCTCGCGTCCAACTGTGAGGAGGCAAAGGCTGCTCAGGCTTCTCAGCCTCTTTAGACTATTCGGGAAGTCGCGCTGTGGTGTTACTTCCCGATGCACCCCTCCTGCCACCTCCTCCCCCCGAAGCTTTGCTAGGCGTCCGGGATTGAAAATGCACGTTCACTCGGAAAGACCCTCAGGGTGAAAAATCGAGAACTTCAGGCCTTTGGGAACTCTGGGTGCAGCTGGGCTTGGAGAACACCTAGAAGGGTCTTTCTGTTTTTGTCAACCCCGAATAGATCTGAAAATAGAGTGTGGATCTTCAGCGATGTCTCAGAATAATAAAGACTCCCCAGATCTGGATACTGGATAAGGTTCCAGTAAAATATTTTGCCATCTGCTGTGGTACATGGAAAGGGCTTCAGGTGTTAGGATGTGGGTTTGGAATTTTCTGTGCTGTCTGTAATCCTCAAAGGCGTTAAATAACAGAATGGTAACACAGCAGGCAAGCGAGCAAAGGTTATCCTTGCCACTACAGCACCTGCAAAAGCATAAGTGGAACTCACATATTTTGCTTGCTCAGTTCTAAAATGGCTTCTGAACCTTCCAGAGGTACCAGCACATACAAGGAGGGGAATGGGGGATGGGAGGAGAGTTTTAAAAACTACACAGATATTAATTCACCTTGCCTCTCTTTTTCCCAGCCCCAATCCTTATTGGTCAAAGAAGAATTTTAGTGTAGGCCTATTCAATAATTCTATACACAGCCTTTTTCTCTTCCCTCATACCAAAAACAAAACAACAGCCCAGTCTGCCAAAAACATCAGTTCTTGGGGGTGGGGGGCTAAAAAAAAATCAACTGATCCTTATCCAACTACCAGACATTACTTACATTTATATGTAAGAAATCCTACATATAAATGCGATAAAATGTTATGAAAGAAAAAATGAGTTACAAGAACCAGAAACGCAGTTGGTGTAAATAAAGTGATATTAATGATCTTTTAACATTAAAATAATTGGCCAATTTCTATAATTGATAGGTGAAAGCTTACAAATTTCCATTGAAATTTTTGGAGGCAATAACTTCTGTTCTTTATATTTCATCAGTAGTTACCTGAAAAAAACTTAATACTTTTATCTGGACCATATAAAACGGTATCATGCTAATTTTATTTTACTTATATGCCTTAGTTTTTCAGATTAATTATATGAATTGTGAAAATTAACACATAAAGCAAAACTGCAGCATCCTTTAATATTAAATTTTCAATTTATAACCAAATTATCACAATCATAATATAATACAGTCCACTCTGCTGTTTCTAAGTGTGCAGTTTGCATAAGTTGCTGGTAAAAAAGCTTGCCTGCAGTTTAAAACTCATGCCTTGGAAACATGATTTCCTAAATTAAAAAAAAAAGACCAACTCACTGCTCTTTACAAGTAGTTCATAATTTGGCTATTGTGGTTACAATTATAACAATATCGCCTTCCCTTACATTTTGGAACTATTGTAAAAGCTATTTGGGCCCATATGGTTATTATTCCATAGTTTTCTCCACCAGATATTTTTTACTAACAAGTGATGCAGCAGCATTTTGATACCCATTTTGCTAATTTGAGTACTTCAGACCAAACTTATATAGGCCATTAAAATAAAAGCACATACATATCTTCTCCCCTTAAAGTTTGGAACAGATATGAATGAACATTAACTTGTGAAAAGGCCTAGAATTATTAATTTGCAAATTAGTAATGATAGTGTGATAATGATCCAAGATTAAATATTTTGAAATTTGTGTATTAAAAGAACATGTTCATATATAAGAAGAAGAAATGGAATAAAATTATTAAATTTAACAGCATTTGATGATGGTTAATAGTCCATATTTCCATCTCAATTTTCAAATAAGCAATAATGGGTTATGGTATGACTTTTAACTGTGAAAGATAATATTAGTAATATAATCATAGATAAAATATAATGATCATCACAAATAATTGATCATCCCAGAGATATCTTCAATGTTAAGTAAAATATAATTAAAGCACAGGAGTTTTTTAAAAAATACTTCACTATCCTATCACCTATATTTTTGACTATTCCCCATCATTTTTAATAAATTTTTATATATCTTTGCCTTCGTATTTTAGGTGATGAACAAAATTAACATGTAGAAAGAATTTTTCAGTCTCCTTTACTCCTGCTTCCTCAGCCATCTATTTCTCTATTCACAAATATTGCTTAAACTTTAAATACCATATTCGTGGTGCTAAAAAGTTATGATTCCCATTAATTTAAATTTATCATAAGCCTATTAATGAAAAAGAATTCAATTTGTATTTTATTTAAAATAGTTAAGTAAAAAAGTGTGGACATTAGGCCGTAGCAAGTGTGTATTTATATTCTGAGAGTAAATTTATTAGAATCTTAAAACATATCTAATATTTTGACATATGCTAAGATTTTCAGCATTGAATCATGCTCTTGAACATCTTAAATTTAATTTTGGTCTTTGGAAAATAATTTAATATGTTTTAATTAGTCATCCTGCAATGAAAATAATTTTTTAACTAATAAAAAGTTAAAATGTTAACACTTACAGAAATAAGAGAGGACTATATATCAAATCCCTAAGTGTTTTTTTAGATAAATTATTCCTACTGGTATTTTATATATTTTTAATTATAGTGATTATTATTTTATAGTAAAATTTTGCAATTAACACAAAGAACAAGGTTTTCTGTGTTTATCTATAAGCATATAGTTGGCATTTTGCAGGTAATCAATATAGTACTTTTTGGTCCTGTCATTTGAGTATACTTAATATATATGTGTATATATTTACATATATGTTATTAAAGTTCAGTGCTTCATATTACTATTTTTAATATGTTAGATTACAATGTGCTATGAAATTTAAGCAGATTTTTTTATCAATATATGTGAAATCATTTTCATGAATGATCCAGAGAAAGTAATAAATTAAAATTTAGAAATGAAAATATTGCAGCAGGTCCAAATTCTACCTAGATCATTGTTTCAAAGTTTTATCATGAAGTAAGCATATATGAAAGCCTTTTAACCTCCAAACTTAACATAATAAAATTTGAAATATTAGAATTGTGATGATGACAAAAAAAAAGAATAGATATTTAAAATGTTTTAGTAAGCATGTGTGTAGGTTAATTTAAAATGAATTACATGATGAGCAATTTATTAAGAATCCAAAAACAAGGACAAAACAAGAACAGTAAAAGGTATTTGCCAAGAATTTATAAGCAGAGCAAATAAGATCTCCCTCCCCAATTGTTTTCATTACATTGCCATGGGAAAAATAAACAAATTATTTTTTTGGGTATGGATAGTTTTATGGATTCCAGCAAAGTACTCTAACATTTCACTTTAAAACACTCATCTAGAAAATAATGCTTACTATTTGTGGTCATATTTTAAAATTACACATATTTTTTATTTAAATACAACAGACACATGTTCTCTCCAAAAATAGCAAGTTCACCAAGTTCATTCTCCAAAGGTGATTGGATATAGTTGGACTTCTGGATTAAACTGAGGGCCTGTTTAATGGGAAGGCAGAGTAGGGCCACTGGGGAGAGGGCACTGCCCTGAGTGCTAATTTGCTTCAGTGTAGTAAAAATGGCTCTAAGCTAGTATAACTTATTCACAGCTTTATAAAATATACCAAGTGCCCATTGGAAAAGCGAGTCATTTTTTACAAAGACAAATAAAAGAAGGGAAATATGTTATTTTACATTCGGAGGGACATCACAGATGTCTTAGGGGAAAAAAAATCAATGCTATAATATAAAAAAACTGTACATAATGAAATAAACTGAAGTTAAATTATTGCTTTCAAATTCTTTTTTAAAAGGCTAGTGTTTTAAATATTAAAAATGCACTTTTTCAAACATGTGATTATTATTGACCAAATACAACACACACTAATACACACTACTAATTAGTGTTCTAACTTTTAAAAATTTCCACACCGAAAAAAAAAATACTTCAAAGAACCTTCTAGTTTATCATGTCCCACTGAGAGATCATGTACCAGACTCTAAGATCAGTGGATAAAATTTGTGGTCTACCAACATAAAATATTTCTAAAGATCACTATTTTCTAAGGAAAATTTTCTGTCTCAAATTACCAGGATGAAGATCTGGGAGTTTTTAGCAGCACTTTTTGTCTTCTATGAACAAATATAATTTATTTAGGATCAAGGTAAGATTAATTTAACATTTCTAAAGTAAAGCGATACTTTATATCATTGTTTTGAGTTACAGAATTTAAACACCATTAAGAGGTTTCTCTTTATTCAACAGCTGAACATGCTGAGGAGAATCAGACCAAAATATAAAATTCAAGTTACAGAACAACAGAGATATTAGTCAACCAACAAAAAATTTGTTTAATTTTTAAACTTTTATTAATTTGGGAAAAGGAGTAGTAAGAAAAATATTTAAATTCCTTTCTGTTAAATTAAAAAATGACTGCTTTCTTATCTAATATTGTGGGAAATAAAACCTAAATATTTAGTCAAGGAATATGAACATCCTAAAAAACAGGTGGGTCTCTGTTTAGGAAGTGTGATAACAATTGATCTGAAAAGATTCTCTGCAGATATTTTAATGTGGTTATGAATATGTTAGCATATAATTGTTTAATAAAATCTTGCTGAATTATATTGACTTTTATCATCATGTAGTAGGCCATTAAATCACATGGCCTATGTGAAGGTAGGAAGATACTTTAATAAATAGAAGATACTTTAATAAATGTTTTTCTTTTTGGCACTTCTTAATTTATACACATATTAATTCAGCTTATATTGCTGTAAAAGGAGAGATAAAAGAAACACAAAATCAAACAAGTTTATAAATCAGTATTTATTTTCTGTCGGTATTACCTAATTTAATATTCATAATCCCCTCATAAACTGGGCTTTATTTTTCCATTTTACAAATCAGGAAACTCAAGTATAATGAAGGTAAGCAGCTTGCCCATGATTGAAGCCTGGTCATTGACAGCATAAAAATACAAACTCATGTCTTTTCTTATTTCATTATAGCCAGATGGAAAGGTCTTTCAGAAAAATTACACAAATCAATCAACAATCACCTATGGAGGACCCATCATCAAAATTGCTTCATAGCTTCACAACATTGGTACTAATTATATCTCAGGCTTTCCACATCTATAAAATGGGGGTAATAATACCTAACTTGCCATGTTATTATTACTAATAAATGGAGTGTGTATAAAATTCTTGGTACTCAGTAGTGTTTAATAAATGGCAACTATTATTTTTTTAAGATTTATTAATTTATGTGTACAAGAACTGGGGTATAGGCCAGAGGTGCAGGAGTTGAGAGGATTCACCAGAGACAGAGTGGGGAACAGAACAGGCAGAGTGACCGAAAAACACTGCTAGAGGGGAACAGGAGAGGTCTGCTGTGCCATGTGGGTAGCTCCCTGGCGAGCTGGGGATTGAACTCAGTGCTGCAGAGGCTGCGGATAGTTTCACAGTGCTGTGCTTAACCCCTTGCGCCAACAGGAAGGCCCATGGCAACTATTATTATGAGGAATGCAAACTAACAGAAAATCCATTTTTGATCTCAAGGAACTTAAACATATCTGATTAAATAAAATATATTATTTACAGAGTTGTGACAATTACAACTAATACATGTTTTTTAAATTTTATTTATTTTTGTGTAGAAGAACTGGGTGTAGGCCAGAGGACCGGGTATGTGTGTGTGTGTGAGAGGATTCACCAGAGACAGAGTGGAGAGCAGAACAGGCAGATTTACTGAAATACACTGGTAAGGGGAGCAGTGGGCAAGACAGGAGAGGTCTGCTGCGCCGTATGTGAATTAGCTTCCTGGCCTGGGATCGAACTCAGGTGGTGGCAATGATAGTGCTGAGACTTAACACATAGGCCACCAGAGAGCCCAGGAATAATATCTATTAGTATATCATTTCATATTTGAATATAACAAACTTGGAAGGCCAAAACCTAACAGATTTCTCAAGACGTAGATTTAGTTATATTAATCAGAAAGAAATGAAAATCCCTATTAGGTGACAACAACCTTGAGCAACATAGATACATGTGGATTAAAAATAAAAACTTTGAATTAAGATTTAAAGTCAGGGCCTCCCCGGTGGCGCAGCAGTTGAGCGCTGGGTTGCGAAGCTGCCCGCGGCCTCTGCAGCACCGGTTCGATCCACAGCTGCTCCCCGGCCACCGGAGGAGGGTCCCACATGGCACGCAGACCTCTCCTGCCGCCCGCTGCTCCCCTCAGCAGTGTGCTTTGGTCCTTCTGCCTGCTCTGCTCCTCGCTCTGGCTCTGGTGAATTCTCTCACCCTCCCGCACTTCTGACTGTACCCAGTGCATGTATAAACAAACAAACAAACAAACAAATAAATAAAACATGCCTCTATTAAAAAAAAAAAAAGATTCAAAGTCATCAGTCCAAACATATGAGTAATATACAAATACATTCATTTTAATCACTTTACTTGTTATCTATTATATGTCAGGTATTTTTTATATGCTGAATATATAAAGGAGAGTAAGATACCATCTCAACTCTCAAGGAAGTAGCAATTTAGTTAGAGCAGTAAAAATACCATTGTAGGGTCAGGAATGACACACAGTGCAGGTTTTCTGATCCAGCAAACCGAGTAAAGGAGGAGTCAGAGTCCTCAGTGGCTTTTGCAGGTCTTTTATTGGGATTTACCCGGTACACAGCAGGCAAGGATGCTGGGGGAGCCGGGAGGCTGGCAGGTCTCCCACCCCCCAGCAAGTCTTCACTTTATCTGGGCCCTCTGTCCTTCTCTGCTTCTTTCTCGGCTTCTGCTACTTCTTTCTGGGCTTCTCTTTCGGCTTCTGCTGGCGTCCCCATTACGCCACCCTTAAAAGCCCAGTTGAATCCCATCTACCTATGCCCACACCCTACTCCAGGTGCCACCATCAGGCATGCATTCAGGACCGAGGGTTCCGTCATCTATCCTAATAGCGGGAAGGCAGAAAAGCCTGATATCTTTTACCTTACCCTACAACCATATATACAGCATGTATAATAGGAGACTAGGTATAATGAAGGCACAAAAGAAGTACTAAAGTAGATTTCAAAAGTATTAATTACCTAAGAGAAACCAAATTCCATTTTCAGATTTACTCCAGAGCAGTCATACAGACTTTTATTTCCATCAAAATGAAAACTAGATTTCTTTAAAAAATTTCCCATAGCCAAATGCAAATCAAAACCACAATGAGATCTCATCACATTGAGAGGTGAGAATGGCCATATAAAAAAACATGAAACTTGGGGCCTCCCCAGTGGCACAGCGGTTGAGTGCTGGGTTGCGGAGCTGCCCGCAGCCTTTGCTGGTTCGATCCCCAGCTGTTCCCCAGCCATTGGAGGAGGAGGGTCCCACATGGCACTCAGACCTCTCCTGCGGCCCCCTGCTCCCCTCAGCAGTGTACTTCGGTCCTTCTGCCTGCTCTGTTCCCTGCTCTGGCTCTGGTGAATTCTCTCACCCTCCCGCGCTTCTGACTGTACCCAGTGCTTGTATAAATAAAAATAAATAATAAATCTTTAAAAAAAAAAAACATGAAACAACAAATGTTGGCGAGGATATGGAGAAAAGCAAACCCTCTTATACTGCTGGTGGGAATGCAAACTAGTCCAGCCACCAGGAAACGCTGGGTGGTGGACCCTTAAAACATGAAAAATGGATCTATCTTATGATCCAGCAATTTCACTACTAGGAATCTACTCAAAGGACACAAAAACACTAATTTGAAAGGAAACCTACACTCCTATGTTTATTGAAGTACTATTTATAATAGCTAAGATATGGAAATAACCTAAATGACCCAAAATAAGATGAATGGATCAAGATGTGGTATATATACACAATGGATCAAACAGATAAATTCATGCCATTTGTGGCAACATGGATGGAGCTAGAAGGGGTTATGCTAAGTGAAATAAGTCAGAAGGAAAAAGAAAAATACCAAATGGTTCCACTTACTGGTGGAACATAAGAAAACTGAACAAAAGGTCAGGAAAGAGACAAAACTTAAAGGTAACCATAGATTTGAAGCAAACAACAAGGGAGGGGAAGAGAGAGGGGTCAAAAGCAGGGAGGGAAGAACACAAGTGACTAATGTGATGGTTCACAGGTGTTGTGCTGGCAGGAGAACTACAGGGACTCCCTTGAAAGGAGAACAATGATATAAAAAAATAAAATAAAAAATTAGTAGCCCTAAATTAAAAAAAATCCCAAATCAAAATAAATAAATTACTGAATAAAACTTTTTTAAATTTTGCAATATAGATTTGCACTGGTAAGAAAATATGGGAAACCTATCAATATCAAAAATGAGGGAGAGAGAGCTTCTCTGAGGGGGAATACAGGAGAGGATATGTGTGTACATTGATCCCGAGTATGTTAGTTTCATGGGACTACCATAGCAAAGTTCCAATAAACTAGGTGGATTAAACAATATAAATTTATTGTCTCACATTTTCAGAGGCTAGAAGTCTGAAATTAAGTTGGTTTCTTCTGGGGACTGTCAGAGAGAATCCTGTGTTCCAAAACTTTCTCTTAGCTTCTGGTGGCCTCAGGCATTTTTTTTTTTGGCTTGTAGCTGGTGGTCTTGCTGAGACTCTATCTTCTCTCCATGTGTGTATGCCTCTGTGTTCAAATATCCCTTTCTACAAGAGCATCAGTCATATAGAATGAGGACCCAACCTAATAACCTCATTTTAACTTGATCATCTGCTAACTTTCCAAGTAAAATCATATTTGTAGGTATTGGGGATTAGGACTTCAATATTCTTTGGTGAGGAAGGAACACAATCTTTCTACCTATTTAGAATTAAAATTTTCTATCATTAAAATTTTTCACTTTTAGTATATACAGTTTTGCATGAATTTTATTAGACCTTTTCTTAAGTACTTCATATTTTTATGCTGTTTTCAACTGTTCATGTTAGCATTTAGAAATGCGGTGACTTTCATATACTTAATTCACTAACTATTCTAGTTTCTTTATCTTTTTTTGGTAGGCTCTGATTTTCAACATGATGTTATCTATAAGTAGAAATATATTTGCTTTTCCCATTCCAATCTGCATGCCTTTTATTTTTGTTTTGTTTTGCTTTCTTTTCTCTTTTGCCTTACTGCACTGGCTGTGATAATCAATACGAGGTTGAATAGGAGTGATAAGAGTGGACAACCTTGCCCTATTCATGGTCTTAGGGGAAAGCAATCAGTCTTTCACTAGTTCTAGATTTTGATGATGCTAGCTCTAGATTTTTCAGGTTAAAGAAGTTTCCCTCTATTTCAAATTTGCTTAAAGTGTTTTTAAAAAAACAACCATAAACTAATGTGGAATTTGTCAAATGCTTTTATGCTTATATTGAGGTTATTGTTTGCCTTTTTTTTTTTTTAGCCTGTTAAGATGGTGAATTATATAGAGTTTCAAATGTTGAATCAACCTTGCATTCCTAGGAGAAACCCCAGTTGGTTATGATGATTCATATTATGTGTTGGTGGATTTGTTGCACTGAATTTTGTATCTTCATGAGGTATTGGTCTATAGTGTTGTTTCCTCTTTTAATATCTTGACATAGATGAAATATTTTTAACTCCCTAGAATTCATTATGTTAAAATCTAATGCTCAGTGTGATTCTATTAGGAGATGGGGGTCTTCGGGAGGTGCTCTTAAAAATGAGATCCCACAGAGCCCCCAAATCCCTTCCACTTTGGACTAGAAAACTGGCCTTTGCCAGACACTGAATCTGCTAGAGACTTGACCTTAGATTTCCCAGCCTCTGCAACTATAAGAAATAAATTATACTGTTTATATGTCACACACACTATGCTATTTTGTTATAACAGCCCAAATGGATTAAGACACATCTTTTTCTATTTTTTTTTCTTTCTTGTTTTACTTTTTAAAAGGACAGGCTTACTAGGATAAGGAGAAAAAGAGAGGCACCTGCATAGTCACAGGTGGGCAGTTACCCCTTTTTTAGTACTAAAGTAATGTTGACCTCATCAAATGAGTTGGAAAACACTTTCTTTTCTATTTTCAGAAAGAGTTTAATAGGATTGGTATTATAATTTCCTTAAATGTTTGATAGCATTCACTTGTAGAAGCTCTCTGGTCCTGGAGTCTTCTTCATGGCAAAGTTTTTATCTACAATTTCAAAATTTAAAATAGACACAGGATGTTCTGGTAAATTGGTTCTTAATTAGTAAACTTTGGCATTT